GCAAACAAAGTGTAGTTACATTAAAAGCCCAAAGTGCGTCTGTTTTGTTTCATTTATTTTCATCTATACATCAGTTGATGTCACAAGCCCTATTTTTTAGCAAGCAGGCACTGTAGAGGTCAGTACTATCCCTATTAAAATCATCTAACTCCGATAGCAAAAATTTTCAATCTCGAGACGGAACCAATAGAATAGTACTCAAGGAAGACGGCTTCCATTTTTCTTTCTCTGCAAAGGCATTCAGATGCATGAATAATTTGTTTATTTCTACCCCTTGCAGAAAATCTGAATTACAGGTATAGTCAGCAAATTGTATACATGGAAGTAAGCTTACAAAATACAATAATAATGGCTTTTTATACATTTTGCTTTAAATAAGTGGCAAACTTGTTCGTTACAAACTTTCCAAAACGGACAGTTTTTGTGCTTTTCACATAACTAGTAGAAGAAAACCTGAGATTGTACTTGTTACTTGGTAGAGTGAGGCGGCTTTTGACAATATTGAAAACAGAGTTTGACGGTGTCAGGGTACATATAAGCTTCTTACAAGCTTCTTCGCACCTATCCGCAAGCCTGGCGATCCGAGACGCAGCTAGCGCATCTGCATATGCAAGGTTCGGAAAAACAACGGCAAGTGCGCGTTTCTGGACCTCTTCTAGGGCCTGCGACAAGTACTGTGGAAGATTGGCGAATGTAGGTGTCGCATATTCCAGAAAAGGCCTAATTAGCGTGCAGTACATCCCGACAATGTTAGCTTGGGACATTCCACAGCGCATGAGCCTTCAGTCTGAGGGCATATATAGCCTGCGGTTGGCCTTCCTAACTATATAGTCCGTGTGCTCCCCCCATGTCAAGTCGCTTGATAAATAAACCTCGAGAAATTTAAACGACTTGACACACTCAATTACAGATTCGCCGGTTACCAAGGGAGGGCAGAGGACGCTATCATAGTGAAGAAAGTCCACCGCCATAGTTGATCTAATGTTATCTGATAAAATTTGTGCCAAAGATAGAAGTAGAATTAAGAGGAAAATAACCCTTTCAGGCTTCTGGCTATGAAAGCCTTCGAACCTTGTGAAAGCTGATTCCTCTTTCATGCACTCTTCCCTGGGTAATTTTTTTATTTCAAATGTGTTTGTATCAGGAGATGCCCTTAATTTTTTTTATATTTTTTCAATTTGCGAATCGTAATTTTTGTCATAAAACTTACCTCAAATATGAGATTAGAAGAATTTTTTAACTCGTTGCAAAAGTGAAGTCAAGTGAAAAAGGTGTTCACGTAACCTTTACTTCAAGTCTCCCGAAAATAATAACATTTATAGAAGAGAGAATGTTCAAATAGAAAAAAGCATAATAATCTATTGACAAGCTTAGTGAAGTAGTATATGCATATACTCTAAAACAAGAAAAACATTGATTAAGAAAATAGAGTAAAAGGTGACATGAATTGGCGTTTACAGCTGACTCTTTCTTCCAAGTTTAGCGTGAAGTAGCATGTGATGTTTGAGGTTGTAATCTTGTTTTCTTATTCCTCGATGGAAGAAGATTATGCTTCAGGCCAAAATACCACGACGTTGCTGTTGTAACGTCGGCTGCAATGCATACACAAACTTTCCACGTTGCACACGTAGACGTGTTAAATGAAGAGAAATTGCGCTATATACAAAGAAAGGGCAGAAACTATAATTTTCTGCTGAAAAGTAATGCAATTTGGGTGCGGAAAACATGAACCTTGTGAACAGAAAGTTAATTTTTCATAGCAATTGTGAGCTTAAGGATGCGGAAGTTGTCAAGCCTAAAAAATTGGAAGCGGAAAATACTTTTCCCTTTCAGTAGCAGGGTGAGTAAAATTCCACATATCCAAATACTCGTGACATTTGGTGTCATCATAATGATTAAAATTGCTTG